GAGTACCAAATCATCGAGGGTAAGGTGTGGTTCCAAGGAGTGTGGCAGAACCGATCCCAACTTGCTGGTGTGGCCGGCCGGCCTTTGTAGCCACATTCTGGACAGTGCTGAACACACCCTGCATCTCTCGGTGGCTCAACCACATCACACCCTTTGCGAAGAGGTAGAGGATATCAAGCGGTGGGAGTGCTGCGCTGTCAATCCAGGTGATGTACCCGAAGGAGAGTTAAGACGTCAGATGGCTGAGCTGGGAGTGGCAGCTGACCGCTATGGGTACATCACGTATGAGGGTGCTGGACAGCAGGTGCCGAGAAGGATTCGTGCAGCAGTTGCTCACCTACACTCTTCGCTGGGGCACGTGTCCAATGAGCGTTTGGTCCGCATGCTGCTGTTGAGCGGGGCGGGCGAGCAGATCTTGTGCGCAGCTCGCAATCTTCGTTGTCAGATCTGTGCCATGGTTCATCCCCCAAAAGATGCGCCCCAGGTCTCCGCCCAGAAAGCCAAGTTCTTTAATGAAATGTTGAGCGGTGACTCCTTCTATGTGTGGGACAGCAAGGGTGACAAGTTCGGGGTGGTGCATTACCTTGATGCCATGACTACGTTCCACGTGGGAGACGCTTGTGTGAACCCGTCCTCGACCTTTGCTGCATCTGTCCTCAGGGACCAATGGTACAGTGTCTTCGGCCCGCCGGACGTGCTCTACACAGATGCTGGAACGGAGTTCGCTGGCACGGTGGCAACCTTGAACGAGGTGATGGGCGTTCTTCATGAGATCGTGCCAGAGGGCGCCAAATGGAAGCTCGGCCAGGCCGAAAGGCACGGCAGCATCTTGAAACTCATGGTGATGAAAATGACGAAGAGTCATAACCTGGCCGGGTTAGACGAGATCCGAATGGCTGTCACATCAGCCTGCGCTGCCAAGAACCGCCTGGTGAACCATGGCGGTGTGTCACCTATGCAGGCAGTTACTGGTCGTCAGGCTCTGCTGCCATCATCGTTGATGGATCAACTATGCTCAGGCCGCATGCGCTTCGTGGTGAACCAGGAGATTAGCCGGGAAGAAGCTTTGCAGAGGGCCGAGCGGATCAGGATTGGAGCAGCAGAAGCATTTCACTGGATCGACTCTCACGAGACCTTGCGTCGTGCCTTGGCTTCGAAATCCAGACCGCCAAAGCTGGAGTTGATCCAAGAAGGTGCCACTGTCTTCGTGTACGACCCACCCGCAAATCGTCGCGGCCTTGCCAGGAGAATGCAGGACAATGTGAGTTGGTCGGGTCCGGGCATCGTCATTTGTGTGGAACGTGACAAGGAAGTGCCCAAGCGAGTGTGGGTCCGTCTGAAGGGTCGAGTTCGATCTGTAGCACTTGAGAAGGTGAGGTTGGCTACTCCGGATGAGATGGTCAGCGGACACTACATCAAGGAGGCCGTGGAGGACTTGCAGAAGGAGCTGACCTCGGGCAGAGCTAAGGCCATTGTCGACGAGGATGAGGAGAAGCCGATGGATCGTCATCGAGTGCTTCGTCTTCCAGTTCTGAAGAGGAGCCAGAAGCTGATGAGCAGCCGGAGATGGAGGTGGATCGAGAGACTGATCGAATGAGGTTGGAGAAACGACTTCAACATGATGTACCTCTTCAATTTCGAAAGGATGAAGAGGAAGATCCGCATGCCTTCCCTTTTGAGAAGAAGCAAAGGCTCTTTGAGAATCTGGCCAAGCAGCTGGGGGCGCCATCGCCTACGCAAGAAGTTCAGGTCCGACATCAACTTGAGGAGGCCGCCCAAAAGCTCAGGAAGGCGAAGCAAGAAGCCAAGGGCGTGAAGCAGTCGGGCAAACTCAAGCCCAAGGAAATCCATCGAAGGCGGGACGCTGCAGCTGTGGGACGACCGGCCACGCCGAGCCAATCGTCTATGATGGATCCTGCAACGTAATTCCGACGAAGCCAATATCGGTGCAACAACATCATCAGGCCCATCCTCACCTACGACCTCCAGAGACCGAGCCAGAGTTGGGCGAGCGATCTCACTTCCGGCAGATGGAGACCGGTCAAGCTCTGGATGAGGTGTTGCTCCAGAAGGCGCTGTGGACAGAGCCTTCAACCCAAGCACGTGTGCAACAGCTGACGGATGCAGCTGCGACACAAGTCCGAGAACAGGCCAAGAGCATTCTGGAGGGTCAGATCATCACCGGCAAGGAGCGCTTGGAGTATAACTGGAACCAGTTGGAGGAGGACTGGCGCCTGGCCTATGTGGCTCCTTTGAAGAAAGCCTTTCATGTCTACATCGAGCACAAGGCCGTTGCTGGCGTGCCTTTGGACCAATATGTGGATCCTCGCTACATCTTGCCGTCAAGGATGGTGCTGACCAACAAGGGCGGCAAGAAACTGGCGGAAGCATTGCTAAAGGCTCGCTGGGTCTTTGGTGGCCACAAGGATCCGGAAGCTGGAGAGCACTTGACCGCTGCGCCCACAGTCAGCCTAGTGGGGCACAACTTGTTGGTCTTCATTGCTGTTCAGATGAGTTGGACCATCATTTATGAGGATGTGAGCGCAGCTTTCTTACAGGGCCAGCCTCTAGCGACTGAACGGGAGATCTATGTTCGACTGCCCACGCAGTACCCTCCAGAAGTCCTAGAAGAGCTCTATGGCATGATCGGTGAGGGACATCGCCAGGACATTGTGAGGCTCACGAAGGGAGGCTTCGGATTGCCCGAGAGTCCACGCCTTTGGTACCTGGAATACCGCCAGACCCTGAAGGACTTGGGAGGCCACGAACTTCGTCTTCTACCAGGGTTCTTTTGCTTTTATGATGAAAAGGGGGTGCTCCATGGCATGGCTTGCATCCATGTGGATGACACGCGCTACGCTGGTGCGCCTACGGCCGAACCCATATGGCAGGAGCTACATCGGCATCTTCGCTTTGGTGATCGTCGTGACGGCTTGGGGGGTTGGACGAAGTTTTGTGGCAGGTATGAGCGGCAAGATCCAGTCACCAAGGAGGTGGAGTATAGCGTGGACGAGTACTGCAAGGACATCCCGTCGGTTCCTGCACGGCTACCTGGAGATTTGGAGCGACCTCTGACTCCGGTGGAGCGCAAGAACATCAGCTCGGTCATTGGGCAGATCGATCAACTGGGCTGCAAGACAGTGTCGCTATGACTTGGCATATGCGGCATCTCACTGTCAGCAGCTGGCGGGACGTCATGACCCGAGAGCCTTGTTCTGGCTCAACCATGTTGTGAAGCGGGCGCAGAAGCCCATGACTATGAAGGTCGTGAAGTTGAACTGCAGCATTGAGGATATGGTGGTGCTGTCGATCAGCGACGCGGCCTATGGAGCTCAGCCTGAAGGTGGAAGTCAAGGAGGTTTGCTGATTGCCATTGCAAGCCCTCGGATCTTGGAGGGCGAAGCTCCCATCGTGTTGCTGGAGGGAGCCAGTTCCAAGTTGAACAGGGTGGTTCGTTGTTCAATGGCAGCTGAGCTCTCCCAGGCGGCGACGGCCTACGAGCATGGCGACTATGTTCGCGCAGTGTGGGCCGAGATCATGAGGAAGGACTTCGAGCTCCATGTATGGAAGTACTGGGCCAGCAAGTGGCGACGCTTTTTGGTTTTGGACGCCAAGGTGGCGTATGATGCCCTGCAGTCGGACAACACTCCGACAGACAGGAAGTTGATCGTGGACATTGCGATCCTGCGTCAAGCCCTTGAAGAGCCAGGAGCAGGGTACGGTGGGTCCCCGGCCGGGAGATTCCATCAGATGGCTTGACGAAGCAGTATGGGAACCATGTCCTCGAGAATGTGATCACGACGGGCTGTTGGTCCCTCTGTGACACAGAGGAAGCTTCCAAGCTCAGACGCCAAGCGGCGGAGCGGAAGAGACAAAGTCGCAAGCGGGTGACCGAGGGGGTTAGGACTTGAAAGGAGCCTTGACCCGCTTGTCGCCCGCCGCCTCAAGCCACAGCCCCTTCGCGGATGAAAAGTCCGGCCGCTAGGTTCTTTGAGTCTAACAAAGGGCGCTGGCCTCTAGTCGGCCCTGACCACTGGCGACAGGAACCAGCCCTCCACCCGAAAGCGGAACTTACTACAGTAGATACGATATGTGCTTGAACACCACGGTGCATTCCACAGGCAAGGCAAGGTCACTTCTAAGCTTGACCAATGTTGATACGTGCAAAAGCAATGTTGGAAAACTAGCGTCAATACCTGGATGCAACAACATAATCAAGTTCATTTGCGCAGAACAAAAATGCAAGCTCAATTGTCATCGAAACGTCCAGATCTCCCCACTATTGCGATCCCACACATGCCTTGCGGAATCTTCGAAGGATGCAAATCCATCAGGAAGCACTAATGCGACTGGTAGCAAAAGCCAGTAAGGAAAAACGAAACTAAAAAATACAAAAACATATGCGACTGTCTCCGAAGTGCGACTTTGGTATTTTGGTTTTCTGTACTACTTATGGTGTGAACATCTTTGAAGCACTCAGGTGCTCCGCGCCGTTGGCATGGAATCCAGTTCGTGTGGCAGTTCGCAACGTTCAGCTAAAAGGCGTTTGCTTTCATAGACTGTTCAGCTAAAAGGCCCGTCGTCGCAGACCAACTGCAGGCCGATCCCTCAAAAATATTGCTTTGGGCGCAATTCCGGTCCAGATCCAAGACATGCTGATGTGGGCAGTTTGAGCAAACTCTCACAGAGGTCCTGCCATGGGTGACATTGACCAAGAGATATGCCCTACGAGGACAAGTGGCAAAACAGCAAGGGCAGTGAACAGTGTTGAATCTACTTATAGGAGTTTGTAGGAGCATTCACAGGTGCAGCAGCGTGTTTTTCATTGTTGTCCTCAATTGAGGAAAGACCATTCGCCAAAAAGCTTTTGAAGACGAGCTGGGTGTTTGAGACCAAGAGCCTGGGAAGTTTTGCTTGTTATACAGTACCATGTTGTACCATGTTATACCATGTTATACCCGGCCGTTGTGGTTCAAGATGCGTATTCTCATGCCAGCCAGGTCCAGCCCCCATTGGGGTACTTCGATCCGTTGGGCATCAGCAAGGATGGAGACTTTACTGAGCTGGAAGCTTGTTTTTTGAGAAGCGAGACCTTGTCAAACGGAAAACTGCATAAAGCAGAAGGAGCTCGCTGGACCCAATATGCAAAGCCATCGGAGCATTCCACAGGTTCTACCGCCGTCGAGAGGCTGAGATTAAGAATGGCAGAGTTGCCATGTATGCAACCATAGGCGAGGCCTGGGCAGCTGGTGCAGCGATTTTGATCATGATCACTCATGTGATCGCTTGGCATTGCAGTGAAGATTTGTTCATCGGAAAAGAACCAGAGGTATAATGTGGATGGTGCTGCATGATTGCAGAGTGCTGCAATGCTGCAATTCTCGCTTTGCATAATTTGCTTGATGCTGCATGTTTCAGATTTGGCATGATTAATACTTGCACAGAAATAGTACCGCGGATGTTGTAAGCTGCCACAAGTGGACAAATTATATACTGTAAGTTGTTGACAACAGTAGGGAACTGGAAAATCCAAATTTGGAAGAGTTGGCCACCGCAAATCGCAACAAGTTTTGACAGGTCACCACAAATTCACCAAATGTTGGCAGAGACAACACGCTAAGCATCATCACAGGGCACAGATCGCCGAAGCATTACCACACAGCAACACCGAAATTGGCGAATTACGGCAGAGCAATGATTCTAAGCTTTTTTGTCTGCACATTAGGCATGCGCATGCACACTTCTGACCCGAGCTTCGCCGGAGATTAAATACTTTCGTTGCTCATCAGCCGCCTATTGAATGAAGCAAGAAACTGTGAGCGAAGGCTACATTGTTCCTGAATATTTCCGCTGGCCTGGTTACCTCTCACCAACAGAGGAGAGCAAGTGTGCTGTCCTGCTTAGACGACTTCTTGTTGTTCGTTCCAAGAGTATCGTTCTATTTGCTTGACATGTTCATTTTCTCGCATCAAGCACACTGAAACAAAGAAGAAACAAATGTCTTATTGTAAATCCTGATCGATTTTCGACACGTGCATGCAAGATCCAAATGTTTGCTTGCAAATTGACAAAGGGAGGTTCACAGTGCAAAAGGTTAAAAGTTTGAAGACAGCAGTGCAACCTGAATGTTGACTTTGACAGCAATCAATCCCAAACCTTGATGCAGGACCTCACCTTCGAAAACGTCCCAAACGGCCTCCAAGCTTTGCTCAAGGCACAGAACACAGACCATGCGGAGCAGGGTTTTTTGTTGGATCGTAGACCTACTATAGAGTCTACAATAATAGAATCATGTCATGGAGTCGTGTTGTATATCATCTTGCCTTTCGACCCATTTCAACATGTGTGCGTCCAATCGTGTGCCAAACAGAATTGCAAAAGCTCTGAAAAGGTGGCCCGACGGTTTACAATTGAATGTGTGTGCATTTGCATGCAGGTTTCGTTGACCGTTGACAAGTTTCTTGACTCAAGCACCTTCCCATTTGCGCCAAAAAAGGACTTGACGGTTTTTAGCGACAGGGCTTAGCCGGATATGGTAGCGGAGAATAACGTATAATAACGACGGCCAAATAGATAGAAACTTTTTTGGCAGGGTCCTTTCTATGCTTTGGATTGGCACGCTTTTTTTGAGCATTGGCTTTACGTTTCTATCTTTTGTATCCCTGCATGTTTCCAGCAAGCGCTAGTTTTTTCCTTTCTGTGCTCTGCATGTTTTGCTTTATGATCTCACTTTGTCCTGAAACGCTACAGTAGTGTTTTTTTTTTCGTTTCTGTGCTCTCTGCATGTTTGCTTTATGCTCTCGCTTTGTCCTTAAACGCTAGTTTCTGCTAGTTTAACCTAAATCTAGCTATCCTTTCACTTTGTCATATCGTTGTTTTTTTCTGTCATGTGTCTAGATGTGCGTTTCTTCTATTTTTGGTATCTATGCATAAAATCCCTTCAAAAAGTAGTTGTCCTTTCTCAGGTTATGCTTGAAACATACGGTGGGTGGGAACACATGGCGGCTCTCATACAAGCAAAGAAGCTGCGGACGGTCTGGCTTAGTCCAGATCGCGGGCCATTCGCCCCCACGCAGCACCTCAACAAGAGAACCGTGGAACAAAGAAGAAATCTGAAGGAAGAACAACGAAAGTTGAGCTTTCGTGATCGAACTGAGTTCGCGACGCGAAGGGTGTAAACAGGCAGGCATGTTTTGTCAATTGAACTTGAAGGATTCAATAATATTATTTCGATAAAAGGTTGGAGGTTGAAAGGGAACAACAAAGATTTCATCTCTCACATGGGTTTGAGATGCACAGGAAACCATGATCATGGGATACGCGAGGGTTCACACATTTGCAAGAAACAGACTTGGACACTGTTGGACCTCGGACCGGACCAACAACTTGACGGACGATGTGGTGTTGAACCCATTCAAACCGACGCCCGCAATGAAGAACGTAGTCTTTAGTCGGCTCCTTGCTTGGAGTTGGAAAATATGTCTTTTTAGCCACTGGACACTGCAGTCAGCAATACTTCTGCTTTGAAATACAGTGGAGTGGACATAGGCATTTTGTCGCTGCTTGGTTTTCGATCTTGACTGTGATGTTCGCAAAGACTCTCAACGAATTGTTCCCAGAAACAGGGCAACCTTGGTTGACAACCCTCAAAAGTCTTAAAAGTGGCCTAGGGTTCCAATCGATGGGGTGGACTGGCACCGTCCAGAAACGGGTGAACCATGTCACTTTCTGCTCGCAATCAACGAGGCGCGAAGATTTCGCGTCGGAGAGCATGTTCACGCACCTGAAAGCAGTTTCCCCTGCCGCTAAGGCTCTCATCTGTTTCTTTGAGGCTCACTGGCTTCCGGTTTTTCCATTGAGCTCGCAGGAGGTGTGCATTTTGATTTTCCATTTTGCAGCCACTTGCTTGGGCAGCCACTTGGCAGCCACTTGCAACCAAAAGGCTCGCAAGCAGCTGCCAAGTCACGAGATTACTCAAAGTTCTTCGTGTAAAAGCCGTGGAGAATATTAAGATTTCTTCGTCAATTCGTCGCCAGCCTTTTTGCAGAAGTCCGGGAGTTCTTCTCGGAAAAGCCTCGGAGAAAATCGCGATTTCTCCGCGCGCAGCTCTGGAGAAAACCGTGATTTCTTCACGGAAAAGGGTCGAAGAATCCTGGCTTTCTCCAGAGCTGTGCACAGAAAAACTATGTTATTCTCCGGACAAAAGTAGCCGTCACTTGCAGCTACTTGACAGTCACTTGCGGCCACTTGGCTGCCAAGCGGCTGCAAGTGGCTGCAAGAGCAAGTGGCTGCAAGTGGATACCAAGTGGCTGCAAGAGCAAGTGACGGCAAAACCGAAAATCAAAATGTACGTCATTTGTTCGCTCTTTGGGGTTTTTCCAGATCCTGATGCTCTTCGACTCGATGAGGCCGGGGCTTCTTGAAGTCGCGAGTTGGATGAGCACGTGCCCACGCGTCAAGTCAAGTCACGGTGGATACCATCCCTGGGGAAGCTCCTGAGGCAACATTCCTTCGTGGAGCGAGTTCACAAGTTTCCAGACGTGAGTTTCCGAGAAGTACCTTCGAGAGCTTTCTGCTCCCAATACAGCACGCTTTGGACGAAGTTCGGACCGGAGGGGGGACCTGGCTCACGGTGATTTGGTGGACTGGACCTGTGTTGACGGAATCAGGATGTTATGCTGATTTTGTGGCAAACACCAAAGCTTTGCCCTTGCAATCCCGTCACAAGCAAGTGAGGCCAGCGATTTCAAGTCGGCCCAGGTCGAGTGATCGGCGCAGGTTCTTGAAGAGAAAGCGACGGGTCAGTTCGTCACGGGTGAGTGAGTGATGTGGATTGCCAGGGCAGCAAGATCCTGATCACTGCCACATGTAGGGTTCAACGCGCAGGTCTGTGAGAACTCGCATGGGATCGTATCCCAAATCAACTTCAAACCTTAGAAGTGAGAAAGGATTAACGATCCGGTTGAAAACAGCCCCACCTTGAAAAGTCACAGGAGTGAGAGGAGAGCCAGAGGAATGTCCAGGTGAGTGAGAGGAGACAGGCCTTGGCGTTCAGGTGAATGGCCAAATGAGTCCGTGCCTTCATCCTCGTCTCTAGATCCATTGCATCCACAGCGCAAGTGGAAATGGGCTGCTCCAAGTTCAGAGCGAGAAAGAAAACCAGGAACAGAGGAACAAGATGCTGAATACATTGGACTATACCCTCACAAAGGGCTTCTTCACGTTTAATAGAACACCTGGCTGCCCTGTGGAAGTCACACCACGAAGAAATCTTGGATTCGCAACTTTGGCACTTTCATGGTCATTCAGATCAAAAAGGGTCGCATTGAGGTGATCGACAGACATGGTGACATGGTTCTTATCTTTGCCAAGTCATTGAGCACCTTCCCGATCCTTTGAAAACTGATCGTTCCCAAGCCCTCCGGTCGCGTTGGAAGTTGACTGGGGCCGAACCCAGACGGCAATTGTCAGAAGGCCAAAGGGCAGTGACTCGGGCCGCGGGCTGGAGGCCCCAATTATTGCACCATCCGCGAGTTGTTGGAAAGTCTGAAGTTCAGAACAAACCCGTGATCCGTGATCTATATGTTTGGGGGCTGTTTGACCAAGACCAAGCTCCAATTGTATTCCAGAGAAGCGAAGGCGAAACGAGACAGGCTTCGGACGGTGAAAAACAGGCCTACTTGTATAGTGGACTTTCCTGGCGCGGTGGACAGCTTGCTACGGATGTGTGTGTGTGCGCACATGTGGGACTCATGCTTTCGCCGGCCAGCTACTGTTGAAGACTTGGTTGAGACGAGAAAGATTCTGAAAAGGGCAAAGGCCCGAGGAAAGGAGAAGATGTTGATCCACACAGCCAGCCCAAAAAGACCACGGGCTGTTCGCCACAGAACTGTGCCTGGATGTTGGTCTTCGCCTGAGACTACCAGGGCTTGCCCATCCCGCGCAGCGGCAGAAACAAGAGCAGCAGTAGACGGCGATGATCAAATGTTTTGCGGTTTGCTTTCAGCCTGCAGACTTGTTGGGATATCCCCCGAACATTCACGACTTGGACTCGTACGTTTCCAACGTTCCTGGAGTTCTGATTTCGGGCGCAAAGAGATTTTACGATCGGTTAACAACCTCGCTGACCGTCACGGTAGCGAAGGACAAGAAACAATCTTGAAAGCCTATACGTAAAGGAGCTCATTGCGATGGGTGAACGGTCAAAACTTTTGCTCTCTTCTCGCAACTGTCCTTGGAGGATTGCGGTGGCTTGAGGGATGTCAGGCCGTAAGAAAACAAAAGCTTAGAATCCGCTGGAGAGGTCTCATCTCGCAAACTACTCTTTTTAGGTTTGGGTCTGTACGTTCACGCAGGTTTCATCGACCATTGACAACCTTGACTCAAGCGCCGTCTCATCTGCGCCAACTAGAGGACTTGGCGGTTTTTGCGAGAGGGGTCAGACGGATTGCGCTTCGCAATGTTCGTATAGTGTATCATTTCTACATGAGCTGGCACGCTCTTTGAAATTGGAACTTGCCAAACATTGACTCCGCTCTGAACATGGCTCATAAAGATACAAATGTTCGACATTTGCTTCAGGGTCAAGTCACTTATATACAAGGGTGTTACCCTTGTTCTGAAATGGTATTTTTGGTCATTCCTTGTAGCTCCTTGTTCGGCGCAACACAATCTACACCAACGCATGGCGGGGCTGTTTTTTAATTATCCCGGCAAGAGACCCCAAACAGTGTGGGTCTGTAAGCAGAAAGTCTAGAGGTCTAGACGCATTGGGGTCCAGAGAGGTGATGGCGGTGATGAAGTGAAGGTGGGTGTGAGTGAGTGTGGGTGAGAGGGAGTGTGAGTGTGAGTGAGAGTGGGATGAGTGAGAGTGAGTGAGTGGGAGAGTGAGTGTGGGTGCGAGTGTGAGTGAGAGTGAGAGAGGGAGTGTGAGAGAGTGTGAGTGTGAGTGAAAGTGGGAGAGTGAGTGTGGGAGAGTGAGAGAGTGAGCATCTGACAGCACAAAGTACTGCCCCAGCCACGAAATCTGCACTTCAAGGTTCACCAAGCGCTGCGCCTGCCACGAAATCTACGCTTCGAGGTTCACCCAGCGCTGCGCCTGCCACGAACTCTGCACTTCGAGGTTCACAAAGCGCTGGACCTGTCTCGAAATCTGCACTTCGAGGTTCACCAAATGCTGCACCTGCGACGAAATCTGCACTTCGAGGTTCACCAAGTGCTGCGCTGCCAACGAACTCTGCACCTCAAGGTTCACAAAGTGCTGGACCTGTCACGAAATCTGCACTTTGAGGTTCACCAAGCGCTGTGCCTGCCACGAAATCTGCGCGTCGAGGGTCACAGAGCGCTGCGCCTGCCACGAACTCTGCACTTTGAGGTTCACAAAGTGCTGTACCTGTCACGAAATCTGCACTTTGAGGTTCACCAAGTGCTGTGCCTGCCACGAAATCTGCCCGTCGAGGGTCACAGAGTGCTGTGCCTGCCACGAAATCTGCGAACGAGCCACATGTCCAAAAGTCCCGATTCACTGCACCTGTCACGAAATCTGAGCTCCTCGACGATCATCACCATGTCCAAAGTGCTGCACCTGCCATGAAAAGTGCATTTCAAAGTAAAACACCTCCGATCCCTTGCACCTGTCACGAAAAGTCGGCTTTGGAGCACCAAAACACCAGGTTTCCCTTGCGCCTGCCACGAAAAGTGACCATGTGCGAAAATGCGCGCGGCACCACAACGAGAGCGCAGTCGCTAGAAGCACCCGCCGCGGGCCCTCAGATTCTGCGAGCCTGCGCAGTCGAGATGCACATTGACGATGTCGAGAGGCATGAATATACTGTAAATAGCAGCGAATCAGCCGCACACGCCCGCGCGCTTCAGCGATCTAAGCATCAGCTGCTTTTCACTTACCGTAAGAACCCCTCAGTGTGCCCACACTGCTTGGGGAAAAACTAGAGCCACGAAGACAGGTAAACGAGGTAATAGGTCAACCTTAATTGGCTGAAGTTTTCTGAGCTGTCCGACGTCCGACCTTTACATACTTCCGGCCAGTCCGTTCCGTTTCTGACAACGTTCCCATTCTGGTGTTCTTGTTGTTTGTTATTTTGTTATTTTTTCTTGTCCTCTCGCCTTTCCTTTCCCTGCTCTTTCCTTAGCCAGGCCTTAATCCGAGTTTTGCCTTTTTTACCTTTTCTCATGTACTTCCGTGTTTTCATCATTGACCTACCGTGTCCTTTCAAGTTCCCCGGTCTTTGGAGTCTCTGGTGTTTGCCACACCTGGAGTTTTGTGAGTGGTATTCATTGACGAGTGTCAATCAACAGAGAAACCTTTCATGGGTGAGGGCACAGTTCAAGATCAGTGCTGTCACCCAGAGGTCCCTCCTGAAGGCTGGCTTCAGATCCTTGCTATCGGCCCAGTTTGGCTTTGTAGCATATGTTTCAATCGATTGATTTTATTCAACCGAACGTTTGAAAATTTGTCATGTTCAATGGAGTTCAAAAGGGTCACAATCAGCACTCAGCAGTGAAATTTGTTTCGGTGCACCTCCATCGTTCCGTCATGCAGCCGTTTGGGCCTTGAAAACTGTCACTGTTCCTTCAATTGGATTGATTTCCAATCTTCTCAGAGCAGTCCTAGAGTTTCATGGTTAGTTTGTCATGTGTATATCTATGCGTTTGTATGCATAATTATATGACATGTCTGGCACATGCACAACATGTTGCATAGTTCAGTTTGGTTCTAATCGCTTTCACACCAAGACCTCAATCATGTCACTATCCGAGTATGGACTTGCAACACTGCGCTTTGTGTACACCTCTAAACTCCGGAGAGAGCTCCTTGGCGAAAAGTTGCAAAAGCAACTGTTGTATTTGTGTTTGTTTGTTTGCATGTTGTTTGCGTTCTTGTTGTGCTCCGGTTTGTGTGTAGCTGTGCAATTATCCTGGACGTCCCGCTCTGCAAGGCTGCAATACACGATCGCAAATTTGCGCCGAAGCCTTGAGTGGTCTGGGTCTGACAAAGATTGGCCTCTTCCACAACGCCTTCCACGCCGCGCTTGGCGAGTGAGCTACTTGAAGCGCCCCTTTCGGGCCAAGATATCAATCCGCACGGCTCTCAGGTCAACTTTACTGGTAAAAGCACAACAAGATGAAGCCTACGAACCCGAATGCAGGGCATTTTGAATGTCTCAGACTCTTCTGTGGGAGACTTGCCTCACACTTTATCTCAGACTCTTCTGTGGGAGACTTTTGCCTCACGTTTTTTGTAGGACACTCTTGAGCAACACTCTTGCTTGACACTCTTGGCACTCTTGTGACACACACTTGTGGAACGGACGTCTCCCCTCACGGAAGGGCCATAGTGGCCATAGTGTGATCATGCAGACGGTTCACAATGGTTGACCACGGTTGCAGATGGCTACGGTTGCCTGAGCAGCATCACGCGAACACAGCTCCACAGAGTCAAACGAGAACCCTGAGGAACAAGGGAAAGATATTTTCATGATGCAGTTGACCGGTTTACATTGGCAATGTATGACAATGTATTTTGCTTTGCCTTGAAGCAACACCAGGACCTTGACGGTTATCCCATGTTATCCCATATTTTGCCAAAATCATACCAATCTTGGCGGGCAATGCGGTAAAGTCAGGCATGTTCAAAGGAACATTCCCAGTAGTTGCAGCGCTCAGATGTGTGTTTTTGTCTGTGATCACCGCTGTGGGTTTGAGCGTGGGGTGGTCACAGTCATTTCACTTGCATTATTTTTCCCAGCCGAACCAGAGCATTGATTGCGGTGCTCACCTTGATGCAAAACAATGTTCTCCATGTTTGTTTGGCTCCTTGTCATGATTCCTCTATACTGGTATCCTGAGCACTAGAACGGGAACAAGCGCTGCACCAGATGACACTCAGCTCTGCACACAAACAGAAAGCAGTGTCAGTGTTTCCAACGGCTGCCAAGAGGTAGCGGATTTGCAGACCGACTTCTCGCTTCAGACATCTTGAGACAGAGCTCTGTCAAGGTCACTACGTGTTCCACGACTTCCGCTACCAGTTCACCTTTCGAGATGTGAAGGAACAAGTTGGCAAGATTGTCTGGAAATAAGTTCAAAAATCACCAGACAAAGACGTGAAACCAAAGTGAGGAGAAGACGTGCGATTTTTGGTGTGAACCTGTAATTTGTTCTTTGACTAATTATTTTGACTGGACACAGTTTTGCAGGATGTCCCAGCTGCGGTCAGCACGGTATTAGGCTCCATGACACCAGAGACTTCGTGCATATGCCATTTCAATTGGCATTTTGAAGGGGTCCCTTGGCAGCATTTGTGAGTGAAGTGATGTGAAGTACAATTGCGTTTTGATAAGTGTTAAGTCCTTTGAATCCACACAATATAGTACGTGCAGAACAATGTGCAGACTTCAAGTCACAAGCCTTGACGGTTATTATAGAAGCTATACTCAGCACTACTCAGTCAGTAGGTTTCGGGGTTGACTCTGCACAAGTGGCAAACAATCAGACAACTGATACTGTGCAAGATCGGAACACATACAACATGACTGATACCCCGAAAATCAGCAGGCCTTTTGCTTTGCCTCCAGAAGATGAAGAATTGAACAGCGAAGTTTGTCAATGAAGGCTCCAACAACCTTGAAGTTAATCCACCGGCTGTAATATGTCTAGTCTACACATTGTACTTGCAGTCTATATATAATTATATATGTATTGTACTATTATATATACAGTATGTACTTGTATGGATATATAGGTAGAAAATGAAAACAGCGACGAGATCAAAGCCACCACAGTAATTGAGACCTTGAGTCTCAACAAGAGCGGTCAAGCAGCGCACTGTCATATGATTTTTGTTGAAGAAAGACTGCAGTAAAGGCTAAAACAAAAAGAACTGCCAGTCATCGCAAAAGGTGTGTGTTCATTGCTTCATTGACGCAAGGTATTCTTTACGCGGTGCCAATCTTTGCTAACGATTTCCTTAGAGTCAAACATTGAGGTACCGGCATACCACATAAAGGATGAGGAGGCCAAAGTCAAACGAGCTGATTTTCGCGGCGAAACAGCTGCAAACATGAGAGTGGGCACGAGGCTCAAAGGAAAGAAAGACATCGCCGCATCCTAGAGCTGGAGCAGGGAATGGCAAATGTGCAGCGAAAGCAGCCCTTTGATTGAAAAACACAAGTTTTCCAAGCTTTGACAAAAGTTATCGGTCGAATATTGTGATGCATTGTGAAGCTTGCTGCGGCCAAGGAGCGACGATGAAGAGAGGCAGAAGGGCTGGTATGGCCACTCAACGCTGTGGAACACCGGCCTCAAACGGGGTCCTTCTGAGTGAAAGATCTGGAGAAAAAAAATGCGAAAGGAGCGACACTGTCAAAAGCTGTGAGGCACATTGCTAGAAAACTGCTTCAGGCTTGTATCATAGCATTCTTTGTTGTCGCGAGTGGAGCCGGTAGTTGTTCCTGGCCTTTGAGGCTTGGTGTGGCATGTATGAGATTCTGATTAATCAGCATGACCCTCGGGACCAAGTAATTGAAGGCCGAGGTGGCTAAACTTGTCTTAGTGCACAAGAGGTCAAGGTTCGCACATACTCAAGACTCAAGAGTGCTGAGCTCCTGAAGAAAAAGACATTGTCCTGCTGTATTGCTTTTGGATGGCCTCATGGTCCATCTACTTGAGGATGACTATATGACAGAGCGGACTCTCTTGTTGCATGGAGAGGACTAGTGATGACTCATGACAGTAGCTGATGTTTGCTAGATCACAGGACCAGGCTGTCGAGCCAAACGGCGCGTGCTTGCAACAGCTCATGCTTGAAAGCGGTATGCCAAGGCCAAAGCACCCCAGTGAGCCTGGCAACTACTACAAGGTTTGTTTAAGGGCTGGGCCGAGCTGCGCTGGGGCGGATTCCGCAGGGTGCTGGTGCTCAAATTAAGCAAAGGATGATGTATATCTTCTTACTAGGATTCTTGTCGCTTCCTGTTTTGGAGCCTCACAATTCTGTCGATGTTCGACAGAGTTTTATAGCTATTCAAGCAAAAAATGTAAACTTGCAAGACACAGAGAATGGAGGAGTTGAGCTGGTGAATGAGGGGACGTGAAGGAGCCCTCCCGCGTCATTTGCATTTGCATGTTCCTACAAATATGGGCGACTTTGAGCTCACGCTGGTTGAAGCAAGCTGCTCCTGCTTTGAACACGTCTCTTGATTCCGTGTGAATACTTGGTGCAAGAGCCCGCTGGAAACTGTGCAGGGACGGCTTGGCTTGCTGCCTGGAACGTGTTTGCCTTATTACATATTTGGATTCTGTTCTTGTTCATGTTTGCAGGATTGCAGATTGTCTTTGCGCCTGAGAGAGACAGTCAAAAAAAACAGTGGCCTTTGTTGCCCAGGATGATTGTCGACCCTGAAAAGCGAAAGCACAAGCCCTAGATTTGGCTGGGTTTTGACAGCGACCATCGCATAGAGGCTGAGGTGGAGGTCGTGGAGGTCACAGTCGGCTGTTGTGAACATTGTGTGAATCTGACTGAGGAGATCCTTGAATGCAGAGATTGCCAATGGGCGTCTTGCAATGGTTGCCATCTTTTGGATGTGGATCCAGGCAGTTTTCTCTCCGCACACCATGACAAAAGATAAGTTCAACTCTTTGTAGGGCTCAGCAGCCGAGCAGATGCTTTTGTCAACTCTCCAGCAGTCGCGTGTTTTTGACTGGAAAACTCAACAGGCCCAGGCACATGTTGCAGGGACCAAGGGTCTTATCTTTGTAATGTACGTAGCGGTGAGTTTGCAATGGTGGAGGACTATGGATTTATAGGCATGGGTCCACTGTGCAGAGTAGTGCTTTTGGATTGGTGAGCTTCGCACAGTACCCTCGTAGCATATTTTATGTTTACTGATCTTTTTCCGCTTGATACTTGCAATGTGGCCACCTCTTGTGGAGTGTCGCCAGGATGGACTTCACGGAAAGGCATGGGGCGAATGGAACCCATGAAGTGCGTGGCTACGTGATGAAGACTAAACAGGTGTGAAGTTTCAGGTCCAGTGCTGGGCCTTGGTTTCAAGGGTGCAAAAAAGCGCTTTGCGTGCAAACACATTTGAACGATTGTAAAAGATTGTAAATGCATCAAAAAGCTGCTTGCATGTAAACAAGCTATACTTGGAGTGCTTTCTGCCAGCTCGCAAGAGGCCAAGAGGTTAGCTGCAGAGAAGAAAAATATCTTAGAAGGCCTTGAGAACCCTGCTGACCAAGTAGACGGCGAGCAATTCCCACGACTAAGTCCACGACGAACGAGCTACTGTAGTGTTTGTGTGGGTTGTGGATACAACCAGTACGTATGTTCCTCCTCGCAGCTGCAAGCTCATGGAAAGCTGCTCGAATGGTGCAAGAGCTCAAATCAATGGCCGTCATGGTGCTTATCGAAAAGACTATACTGACCTTCATTTACATTCAAGAATTGTGTCTCGACAGCCAGACACTTGGCAACCTAACCCTTCTGAAGAAAGTCAACATGAGAACGCTCGTTCGTTAGTCTATGGCACAATGCTCCTCAATGCAGATGGCGGCTTTTCACATCAACGACAAGGCACGACAGGACCTGCATCATAGCCTGGCCATATCGATTTCAGAATGAGCAGCCTTCAAGGCTTTGAAGGCTATATTGAACCATGTTGTTTTGGTGCTTGTTGTTTCCTTAAGCTGTGAGTTCAGCTGCTGTAGACCAGGCGAATGGCTGCCAAAGCTTGGCACTCGCTCTGAGGGTAGATGACCATTCATCAGGCCTTGAGTTGGAAGTGCAGCTTGAAACTGCTGCAGGCTTCCATTGTGTGTTTCTACCAGAATCTTGTAATAGGACTAACCTCTTTGTGCCATACAAAGAGTTTCGGATCAGTGGTTGCATTTAAGCCCGCATAAAAGCTGCTTTGTCCTGCAAAGCAACTCGCATTGTTGGGTGTGCTTTCGCTGCACGCACTTCTGCGCTCCTCAGTTGCCCTTTGCTTCCAGGTTTGCACATTCGACCCCCGTCCACCCGGAGTCCACCCCCTTCACTAATTCCAACAACGGGTGCTTTCTTCTTCGAGTACAGACACATTTCTCATGGACTCCACCACTCAGGGCTGCACTAAGGCACGGAGTTGGGATCGTGCGCGTGGGCTCGTTTTGGTGCAGCGCTTCATTCTGGTGGTTTGAGGGTGCCATAGGGTGCCCATGTGCGTGTGATGGACACTCTGACACCATTCTGACTTTTCCAGACATGACTTCGGAGGTGAAGGAGATCAGAGAGAGAGAGTGCAATTCTTTGGCAGGCGAAATACCATGACACACCCGACACATCTCGGCCGCTCGTTTGAATGACTCCCCAAAAAGTTGAACAGACGCATCCACATGGCGCAAGTAAGCCACCAATGTTATCCATACCCCAGCAACACTTCTAGAAGACGTGGCATGCAAAAGAAATGGCCGTAGGCAAGGCATAGAAGCACCTCCTAAAACTGCCCAGACTCTAAGATTGCGTTGAATAGTTGAAAGACTCTCAAGGAAACATTGGCCGACATGTCCAAAGGATCCACCTGAGTGATTCAGGAGAGTGACACATCCAAGCGACATATGACATATGTTTGAAAGGCATATCCCAACCACACATGATGTTATCTAAAAGTATTATTTACTGTAAGCGCCACTGGAGTGTGCCGCCGGCCTCCACGGCTGAATCCTGCTTGTTGAGCATGTGTCGGTTTGGTGTAAACAGTGGTTGGTGTAAATAACGGTGGTTGGGTGTAAACGATGGTTGGTGTAAACCGTGGTTGGATGTAAACGGTGGTTGGTGTAAACCGTGGTTTGGTGTTTACGGTGGTTGGTGCAAACGGTGGTTAGTTAGTGTAAACTGTGGTTGGTGTAAACTGTGCTTGGCGTAAATGGTTGGTGTAAACGGTGGCCTGTAAAACGGCGGTTGGCGTAGACCGGTGTAAACGATGGCTGCTCATCAGCATAATGGCCTTTACCTCGTCTCTTTCCTTTTCCTTTTCCTCGAGGTCTGAAAAATCTGCGGCCTGATCTTCCTTTTCCTTTTCCTTTTCTTCTTCCTTTTCCTTTGCCTTTTCTGGCTCTTCTTCCTTGGAATCTCCTCTGGAACCAAGAGAAATTCTGTTCATCATATACCCAAAAGACATCGTCCAGGGCATCTAGGAATCCTTCTGTTCCATCTTCTTCATCTTCGGCCCAATAGCCAAATGTACCATCGAGTTCTCCTTCGTCTAGTACGAGAAATGATCTTCTACCTCCAGCACCTGTTGGCTGCATAAGAGGATTGTCTACTGAAGTCTTTGTTGTGCAGAACATCTCAATGAAAACTGTCCTCAACTCTGTTGTGGTGTATTGCTGCAGGACTCTACCACGATGAGTCATCAAAGAAGTCAAAGTGTTTCGCTGGTCCTGAGACAAATCTGCAAGTGACAGCATGAGTAAGGCAATCAGATTTTCTCCCAAAGGAAAATCATTCTGATGAAAAGTTCTCATATTGCCATTGATGGTCTGCATGATTTCCTGAATCCTTTCTGCCGTTGGAGCTACTCCAGTCAACGCTGCATCAGCCTGCATCTGAGCTAGGACCTGAGGATGTGCTTGTGTGACTGGCTCTAACATGTCCATCCAACTGCTCATAAGCCTTTGGAGTAAAATCTGGAATCTTGTCATCCATTTCATCATGTCAGCTGATCCTCGATTGAAGCGCACGAATTGCATGAACCTATACAGGAATACATTGGTGGATCCTTTCACAAAATATGGTCGTAGTACTCTCTTGAAGTAATCTACTCCAGCTCCTGGTGGCTCATTAGCCTTCAATGCATCTCTGTCTAAAACTCGCTTGTATACAGCTGCTTCTCCTTCTAGTCGGTTTCTCAATGCTGGTCCTCTCTTCTCATCCTCCAGCTCGGTGATATCACACCAATCGTCTATGGCATCCTCATAGGAAAACCATGAAGTCTTTCCATCATAAGATGGGGGCACCTTTGTAGTGACCTGTGTTGTCATAGCTATCGCTGCTGGTTCTCTTCTCACATGCCTATTCACGTAGGCTGCTGGCTCATAAGCCACATCCGCATCAGGCTCTTCCCAGTCGTCAATCCAATCCATGGCCGTTTGCCCACAAGCAATTCTATGCCTAGGAAAGGAGCTCACCTGGGTCTTCCAGGATCACTGCTCCGCTACCACTGAAAGAGTGACTAGGGCGTACACGGTAGAGGTGCAGACCGCTAGTGTCTTTTGCTCACGCAGAGTCTTATCCTATATCCCTTGAGCCTTATGGCAGTCAAGCATGGACACACTAGATAGGCCACTGGAGTGGAACCTGTACAAGTAGGCCTCTACATTTCGGTGGGGGGGTGGGTGGGGATGGTTTGCTCATGGCCACATGATTACATTTTACATCCCTGCACTCCAGGCGGTAAGAAAATTAACCCCAGGCAGCGCGCAAATGCCTTGGCACAAAGCATCACCAGCATCATGAGTGTGGTGGGGTGGTGCGCGCTGCGGGCAAAAAGGCGTCACAAGCGACGAGATAATCGGCGTCACAAGCGACGTGATTCGAGAGCCTCACCCCAAACCACAGTTCACACCAACCACTGAATACACCAACCACAGTTTACATCAAGCCACCGTTTACACCGAGCCCCGGTTTACACCAACCATCGTTTACACCAAGCCACGGTTTTCACCAACCACCGTTTGCACCAACCACAGCTTACACGAAGCCACGGCTTACATCAACCATTTACACCAAGCACCATTTACACCAACCACAGTGTACTGTACACCAACCACGGTATACACCAACCATCGTTTACACCTATTACACCAACTGCCGTTTACACCCACCACCGTTCACACCAAACCACGGTTTACACCAACCACCGTTTACACCAACAACCGTTTACTCCAACCACCGTTTATACAAACCACAGGGTAACCACAGTAAACGCCCAACCACAGTTTACACCAACCACCGTTTACACCAACCACTGCTTACACCAAGCCCCGGTTTACACTAACCATCAATCGACAACTTATCCAGAAGAGTATTATGAAGAGAATCCTTATGAGGACACTTGGGAGTCAAATCAAGTAGCATATGATGCTATCATTGCCGAAGATATGAATGACTATCTTCAAGGAGAACATGAAGATGCCAATGACTTTTGGCAACAACTTGAAGAAGCATGGTTTTCCCACAAAGGAAAGGGAAAAGGCAAGAGAAAAGGCAAGAAAGGAAAAGGAAAAGATAAAGGAGATGGCAAACAAGATGCAAACTATGCAAATCAACAACAGCCACGTTCTTTACCTGCACCTTCAAGAACTTCACAAGCATCAGGAAGCAACCAAGGTTTCTTTGCGCATTGTGTGACAACGGTAGCTGAAGTCCATGACAGTGAGGTGGACTTGCTGTCAGGCATGATGACCTCATGTCAAGATGAAGCTGACTGTAATGTCAACAATGGTGAGACGATCTTCGATGGCATGAGTGCCCCTGTGAGGTGCTCTTTGTCAGAGGAGATGCTCACAGATGCTCCTGATGGCTTTGCGCTTATCAGCGCTGAGGAAGAAGTGAAAGAGATGCAGGCTATTTCATTTTTGACTGAGAATCGCTTCCCGCCAACTATTGCAATCCTGGATATTGGATGCACTAGAGCTATGGGATCAAGGCGTGCAGTCGATTATTTTTGTAACTATGTCGACAATCATCCAGACTGTGGACTATGGTACTCTTTTGAGTCTACCAAGAGCAAGTTTTACTTTGCCAATTCTCAGAAGGCTTCTTGCTCTCAGAAACTGGTGATTTACATGTATGATCGTGCATGGACGATCCACCATACAGAGTTTGACATAGTTGAAGAAGGAGAAGTCCCTTTGCTTATGAGCTTGCCACAGATGAGGAACTTAGGCTTTGAACTCAGGCTGACACCTCAACATGCTTACCTGACATCGGTGCCTCTTGGTATCAAATTTTTGGAGTTGAAGGTTGCAGCCAGTACTCATCTTGTTTTGGACTTCCAAGATATAGCATGGTATCTGTCTGACGTGCGTTTGCAGACTCGGCGTGAGAAGAGTTTTTACTCTCACTTCACTCACTATGAATATGGCCATATTTCTGTTGATCACAATAGTGATGAAGATGAAGCTGAGCATGCATATCCTGTGGTTGATTACTGGGAAGTAGATCTTCACAAGAGAGAACTGACACGTCACCACAAGGATGACAGAAAGATCCTTTTCCCAGCAACTAAGTCATGTCCTGTAGACACTGACTTGCTGGAAGACTTGCGACTGACAATCATCAAGAAGAAAGATGGAGGAGAAGAGATCAAGAAGCAAGATGATTGGCGCAAGGCAAAATGGAAGGACCTACAAATTGGCTATGAATGGCGTGGTAGAACAATTTTTAAGTTCAAGCCAGATGCCAAAATTCCAGATCTAAAGATCAGGAAGGCTGGCATTGAGCACCGTGGCATTGGTGATCCCGATGCAGTGGTGCGCTCCTCCTCAGAGAAGGTTCCCATTGCAAAGGACAGGGAACCAGGCTTCTCATCAGAGAAGGAAGGTGCACCATCCAGCGCCGCGGAAAAGCCTGCGCCGCCAAAGTTTCGGTATACGTCCAAGGGTTTTGATCCATGTTGGAAAGGACACAAGTCGAAACCATCTGAGCCTCCAATTGATTTAAAGGGTGATGATCCTGAAGGGTATACTCCCTCAGAACCACCTGAGAGGCCAGAAGGTGAACTTGT